TGTCATATTGTTACAGAGCTACTATTCCTCACTGCATACATGACCTTTTACAGCCTAAGGCAGTGCCATTACTCAATTTTCCTGAAGCATAACGAGTTAAATATTAGATTTCATAAGAACATATTTAGACTTTCGTGGTGCTGGTCTTTATCTCAGACAAGATAAGGGCTGTGCTGCAGGAAATGATGATGTATCATATCTTTATGACTTACTGTGCGATGAGTATCTTAACAAGTCCTGCGTGGCCACAGGTAGCAGCAGCATGCAGCGGCGTCCACAGTTCGTTGTCCTGAGCGTTAACACTGGCTCCTCGGTCCAACAAGAGCTTCACCATCTCCTCATAGTTGTCTATGCAACACTGTATGGAGAGAGAGAGACAGAGGAAAAGGGAGGGAAGGAAAGCAGGAGGAGGACAAGATTAGATTTGGTTCAGGTTTTATATGAAATATTTAATAGCCCAGTATTTTCAGGATTAAAATTTCAGTGTGGGATTGTGGGCACTGCACATAGAGGAAGAGAATGAATGGATGGACCGATGGAAGACACAACAACAGAACAATAAAATATGTGCAGCTCACCACTATCCCCTCCTTACCCAAACAAGTGGTCACCCTTGTGGAAAACAGTTAACCCCCAATTTTGAAATATGACTTTAAAAGCAATTAAAAAACCAAAAACCTGGAAAAAAAATAGTAGTAAGGAAAATACAAAAAAAAAAGAATGGTTGGAAAAAAAAAAAAGAGGAGGAAAAAAGCTGTGGTGCAGTCAAGGTGTACATTTCAGCATCTTAATCATTCAAGAATGACAACAAACCCATAAATAAGTAAGTACTCATTTGTGAAATCTATATAGTATTTTTATTAGGCTATCCTAGAGTACAAATCTAAGCAACTTTATACACATTCATCCTGACTTCTCAGCCATTGTGTGGGTTTGTTTCCTGGACAAAGGCAGAGGGTCACAGAGTATTTTGCTTGTAAAACTGGGTGTGATTACAGGGTGGAGAGGAAGGAGAATTTTCCATGAAAACCATTCTCCAATCAGACGGCTGTCAGCAGCTGCAATTTGCTCCATCAGAGCTAATTAGTGAGTGTGGCAGTAACTTGTTGTTACTGCCACAGATAACAAAAAACAAGAGAGAAGGAGGCAGGAAAGTGCTGAAGAGAAGAATGGAATTACTTTGTCACAGTGGGAGGGTCAGATATTATCAGAAAATCAAGACGTTCAGGGCGAACAGTTTGTTTCCAAAGTCTGAAAAGGGCACGTCAGCTAATGCCTCTGTTATTGTTTGCGCTGGTGAATCTGGTCCATGACATTTTTAATCAAACCTTCCAAACCAATTTTTATTTTTCTGCTTTGTTTTGTTTTGTTTGTTCATTTTATACCAAAGAACCCTTGGACACCTTTATATCAAAGGAAATGAGACATCCGTCACACAAAAAAACAAACAAATGCAAAATCACCTTTGGCAAATTGATTGCTGACAATCCTAAAAAACCCAAAAGTGGTTCAATGAAGAAAAAAAGGGGGGGAAAGAAAATAAAAGAAAGAGGACTGGCAGCAAATAGAAAAAAATAAAGATAACAAGCAACAAAAGAAAGAAAAATACATCCACTCAGTAATCCGCTTATACTGTGAGGCTTTGGCGAGCAGCAGCCATCTCAGCATGTATTGGAAACCACGATGTTAACACACAAGTCTCAAATTGTTTCCACTTTCTAAATCCCTGATTGCAATCCATCAAATCACAAGCTCCTCTGTTCAGCTCCTATGTGATTATATTCTGACTTCAATTCTGCAATTTGGGTAAAAAATAGTCAAAGTTTCTGTTAGCTCACCATCCCATGTCTTCAGATTATTGATAGACTCTACTTTTCTGCAGTTAAACACTTTCTAAAGTGACATATTTTTTGCACCGTCTTCTCAAATGGGAGGGTTTTCGGCTCTTCTCTATTTCATCTGATTGCGAATTGTTTACTTGAGAATATAATCTACAAGGAAACATTTTGTTGCATGCACAGGTTAAACCTATGCGCAAGTTATACGATGGGAATCACTTCTGAGCAGAAAACAAAATAGACATTTTCTGCTAAACCAACCGTATGCTTGTTTTTAAGCGGCTATAGGTCGTTTCACTTGTATATAAGCAGTTTAATTAGAGTGAACCTGCTGTGCTCCATATTACTTTTCCTTAGTACAGCCCGTCAGCTTCACTCTCTTATACAAAGCTCCCTTTCCTTAAAGGCCAACATCCTTTTAAGCCATTTTTCTTCATATTGGCTTCCAGTCCCCTGGCTTCTAAACAGAACCCATGACTTTTGAACACCCTCCACTCCACATGCCACTGTGAAGGTTCTGAAACAAACAAAAAAAAGACAACATAATTTCTCATTCTTAAAAAGAAATGATCGTTTCTGGCATCTGTCTGTACAGGTAATTATTCAATCTGGAATAAGAGAATGGACTGTTGGTAATAATTTACTCATTAACTGCTTAATATGGCATTTAAGGTGGATTTTGTGTTTAATCTGCAGACAATATAGAAGCTAAGCACAGGGTGGGCCATTTATATGGATACACGTAATAACATGGGAATGGTTGGTGATATTAAAGTCCTGTTTGTGGCACATTAGTATATGTGAGGGGGCAAACTCCTCAAGATGGGTTTACAATTCACAATGTTTAAAAAGGACTTTAATATCACCAACCATTCCCATGTTATTACGTGTATCCATATAAATGGCCCACCCTGTACTGTAACATCATCCATGGGTTTCTGGAGGCTTGTTTTGAAGCAATTATAATTTCGCCATCTTGGTTTTAAAGAACTAGATGTCACTACGAGGGTCAAATGTCACTATGAAACCACTCACTCATTAACTAACAACTTAAATCTGCCGTCTATGGTTTAATCACAAGCATAATGGCGTAGTATAACAACAGTGATGGTAGGAATAATACAAGAGTAAATTTTTCTGTGACATACAATTGTCATATCATAATATCAATGGCACAGTGCAGAACAGTGTTTAAAGCCCAGGCATGCCCAACAACAAGAGCAGCGTGTCAGCCTCCAATGATGATTTAGTAAATAGTGAACTTTAACGACCTCCAACAAAAGAGCAAATGTTTGATGGGTTAGGGTTAGAGGTTAGAGGTTAAAGGTTAAAGGTTAGGGATTTTCCATTTCAATTTTATTATGTGCAAGCATAGTGCAGGGTCCTGAAGAGTTACAAGGTTAAATTACTTGAGTTATTGTTACTGTTGAAATGTTGAGCATTTCAGAGGAAAGGACTACCTGGGATAATTTTGTGCTTATGCTTTGTATGTATACCTGTATCTCTAATACTGCACTATATTACTGCTGCTGGCGTCTTGTGGCAACAGATTCCAATTTTGAATCAGGGCGTCTATGATCCATGAGCTCACTGGAGAACAGAAGGATGGAAAATGTGTTCATTTCGTTTGCACTAATAAATGCTGCTGTCTGCAAGCTGCAGTCACTGATGTTCAGTATTTCTTTTTCCTGAACTGTCAGAAATACTGCAAATTTTATTGAAATATTCTGTTAAATTTTCACCTCTATATTACATTTGGTACCTTTCATGATGGTCAAGGACAACTTACAAGCAATTAACAAAACCACAGTATGGATAAAATAACAGCTGCAAGACAGCATAGAATTAAAATTCACTACATACAAAAATCAAACAGCATAGACATGTTTTCAGAGATGTTTTCAGGCTGGCTTTAAAGACAGGGACAGGATCAATGTTGCAAATGTGGTGCAGGAGAGAGCTCCCAAGAAGGCGGAAAGCTTTTTGGTAGAAAGCTCAAAAGCCCAAGGTGGACAGCCAGGCAGCTGGTATAATAAGAGTAACAGAGGAGAGTACAGGAAGGAATGGTGATGTGCAGAAGGTGAGAGAAAAATGAAGGTGCGAGATTGTGGAGAGAGTTGAAAGTAAGAAGCAAAATCTTAAAATTAATGCAGCTGCTGAAGGAAATGAGTAATACGTTCTATGGAAGGAGTTCTGGCTATGACCAGCTGAACCCTACAGAGAAGTTTAAGATTTTTGAAGGCATTACTTTAATAAATATGATATATAACCAGAGCACGTCCAAGAAAACCAGTACTGATGTACAGGATGTATAAAGCCGACCAATATCACATTGGTAGAAATATGCAGGCTGAGTGATATTATTGATGTGCGTTTCAAAATTTAAGGCATTATGGAAAACAGCAACTAAGCTCTTGATCTGGGAAGGAGGAACGATGTGAGAAGTGTCAACGCACAGAGCGAGCTTAGCACATTTGTTCAAAAAAGTTTTCGTTCTACCAGAAGGACCTCGATTTGTCACTCTTTAACTTAAGAAAATTAGCAGACAATCACAATCAGGTGGAAGAGTGGAACTAGGCTGCGTGGACAGGTAGAGGTGGGTGTCATCAGCATAAGAATGAAAATGAATACCAGATTTCCTAATAATGTAACCTAAAAGTAAAAGATAAATAATACATAGAAAGACGCCTGAGGCAGAACCCTGGGGAACACCACTAACAACTGGGCAAGGTTGTGAATTGAAATGTTTTCACTGGACTCAGATCAAGAAGCAACCCAGAGTCGGCTGCCATCAGAAGATCATTTGTGATCTTGACCAGGGGTGCCTCTGTACTGTGAACTGGCCGAAAACCAGATTGTTGAGATGATTGTTAGTAGGGTATGAATAACTCTGCAAAGCAACATTTTTTTTTTGTTTGTTTGTTTTTGAAAGAAGAGTAATGTATGGTAATTATTTTGGTTGAAAGGGTCTTCTTAAGAGTTGAACTTATCAAAGCTGTTTTAAGAGG